AAGCTTTTATGGAAAGTTTATTCATTGAATCATCTGGCTGGCCCTACATTTCTTTATTGCTATTTTCTGATGTCATCAGGTCAAGGGCTTATGCTTTCCTTTAAAATAGCAGTAAAAAGAGGTTTTTACCAAAATATCTTAGAATGACTTAGGAGCTGACTAATTTATTCATTTAAATCATTCTCAGAATTGAAGCGGCTCACTCCCAGTGAGGTGATGTGTCTGAGACAGTCTGTCTAAAGCAGTCTTTAACTTAACTTGTGGATACCTTGTTAAGGGTGAATGCCTGTGTGTTTTTTAAAAACAGTATAAATAACCGCTCCTCATTTTACAAATGACATTAAAGACCCAAAGGACATTGAGATGTGTATGCATCCTGGTGCTGTTGCCTGTAACAGTGCATGGAATGCACACTCTGATCATACTATATTTTATTTAAAAAAAAGTTTCTGGAATTTCCATGGGGGTTGGGCAGGTAGGCAGGTGTGGTCTGTAATCAGACAGATGGATGGATAAAAATTGGAGGCTACTACAGTTATTGAACTTCAAGGCACCCATGAAAGGAAAGAAAGAAAGGTGAGTCTGTGGGGTCGGAATCTTTGATCTCGTAAGGTAGCGGGGACATCATTTTTGCCAGTCTGGACTTCGTGCTGCGTCACTGGCAGAATGTTGGGGCGTGGGACAGAAGGCAGCGGGGCTGGTCCATGCTGAGGGCGATGCCACGGAGTTCTGTGAAATCACGAGTTCTGAGATGGGAAGGTGCACTGTTTCTGAATCTGCCCGTCTGTTAGCTGAATATGCTGTGGTGTACTATTGACCCGACAAAACCAAAGAAGGAAGGGACCTAAACCTCTCCTGCGCCTAAGTCACCTTTTCGTGCTTCTGCTCTATTGACTTCCATGAAGGAGAGATGCTCTGAGGTGGTAGAATGCTTGCATATCTTTTTAACATCTTTGTCCACCCTGTTTTATTTTCCTTTGATATGTTGAAACCTTAAAGGGATGATTCCATGATGCAAATTTAACGGGTAGCTCTCTTCTTGTCCTTGATACCAAAGTTACAAACAAGATGCCTTTTATGTTGTGACTCCGAGGGATAATTAACTCAGGAAATGAACTAGGATCGTTTCCCTCTGCTCTTTGCTAATTTTGAGTTCTATTGTGTTCTAGAATTCATAATGTAAAAATCACAGTGAGTTCTGAACAATGAATATGAAGGGTATAGTACTTTTTCCAGGAAAGAAAACAAAGAGAGAAAAAAAAAAAAACTACAACTCAGAAAACAAATAGATAATCAGATCACGTTGAGAGTCATTTGTTTTATTTTTGTCTGTTTGCTGTTCAACTAATTTCCTTCTAAAATATGTACCTGGGCTCTCTGTTAGGCTTTTTAATCAGGTGAAAAGCATGGGTTTTGCTCATTCTTCCAGTTTGTAACATTTAGTCATAATGTGCACAACATCAAAACCTCACAAGGGAAATGTGCAATGACTGCGTGAAACTTGGGAATAAGAATATAAACAAATCTATTGCCAGGAACTTATTGTCACGATTCAAGCATGGGCTAAATAACCCGTTCCAAGACCACACATGCTATTCATCAAGATTTTCTAAGACTATGTCCTCTTTCTCTTGTCCTGAGCTGATTGAAGCGTGCTAAAAACTTGGGGGTCTGTAAGGAGCAAACCTTTTCATGCTCGCAGCTCCAGAATTACTCTTGAGAGCATGTAACCTTGGCAAAGGTTAGTCACCTTCTGCCCAGTTCTCCCTAGGGCTCAGTGAGCAGGAACAGGGCTCTTTTGCCTTTGTCTTTCTCAGAGGTACATGCAGCCAACACAGCTGTCTTTATCTCACAGCCCACAGAGTTGACTGTACAACTGCAATTGTGGGATTTCTCTGGGCGTATTTCTTGTTAGTTAAAAAAAGAAGAAAGAGAAAGCTTGGATGGCTCAGTGGCACAAGAGTTGTAGCCTGTGCAAGGCCCTAGACTCAAGGTCCATGCCGTGCGGTGAGTCAAGCCAGCTACACTCGCTATTTTTTTTTCAACTACAGCAAATGTTAACCCTTAAAATGACTTCTAGATAAATTTACTTTTTGGTAGAGTTAATAAGAGTGGATATTTAACATGTTAAAACAATTTAATAAAAACAATACTTCGTGAGAAGAAAAAGTACCTTGTATATTTACAAAGCAAATGGATGACAGAATTTGAGCTTTGTAACCTTTCCTAGCATATTCTGTAAACCTAACAATGTGATTTTAATCAGCACAGAGACTTTTTAAGGATTGAACATTGTAATAGCAGTAAACGAAAGACACTAAAAGTGTAAAATATGTTATCCATATTCTTGACAATCATGTAGGTTTTGTGAAATTATTTATTGATTACAGAATTGCTTTTATTTAATTTTTAGGATTACAGTATAATAATTTCTCCCTTCCCTTTCTAACCCCCAAATTTTTACATATCAAACATAAGCATATTTTTTATTTCTCTACTTAGACTATCTTGTTATATTGAAACAAAATATTATACATATAGAAGCTTAATCAAGTGATCACTTGTGGTACAGTTAATAGTGCTTATTTATTGACATTAGTGTTCTTTTCTATGTATAAGATTGAGTATTATTACCACCCTTTAATAGATAAAGCAAACAACTTCATGAACATTTATTCTTTAACAAATTATTTTTTAAGAAATTGAGGTAATGTGGAGAGTGCACAGTGGAGTTATTTTCAGTTGCTCAGTCATTTGTATTACATAATAATTGTATCCCCAGTGAATGTTCTGAACCCTGAATAGTGTTAAAAATTATAAAAGAGGCATTTTTTTTCTGGTCTAAGCTTCGTGGTCCCCACTAGACCAAGTTGAAAAGTCAAAATGGAGTCACCCATGATACTGTGTGGTTGGATCTTAACGATAATCCAGAATGTCTGGGTCACCAAGAGTGAAAATGAGCTGCATGTCTGCCTCGAGAAAGCAAGGTTACGGAGATAATCAAATGCATTTCCCAAGCAGGCCGGTTTCAGTTGGTGAGATAATGCCTTCCCCTCTCACCTTAATCTCACACAAAAGAAGCCAAATATTAACCAGTCAGTTGCGTTCAGTCCTGCTGCCCCCAGGCCCCCAGTTTACAAGGCAAATATTTGAAATGGCCAGTCCTTCTCGGTTTTTGAGGGGGTGGGGGTGTGTGGTCTGTTTTCCCTTTCTCTGTGTTCAGGGTCAACCTCTTGAGCGCAGCCCATTAGAACACTCACTCTGTGTAGTGGGAGGAAGTGCTGCTTGATGTTAAAATAGAAATAAAGCTGTTCGGGTCATTAAGCTAAGGTGCTGAAATCTGTCCTTTGACACAAGTGCTAAGTGCTGAGCTTTGTTAAGACAAAGGTGTGTTTGAAGAGGTTTCTGTAAAAATGTCATCTCTAGATTGTCAGATGTTTACTATGTCGTGGGAAAAATCCATGCAACAGTTTGTCACCATATCAAAACCTCAGCGTCAGTCTATATTTGTAGAAGGAAAGAATTCCCTTATGCTTCTATTTTATTTTACTTTGTAATTTAAGATTTTAATAGAAGAAGCAGAAACCTACTGTGTTTTTGGAAAAAAAAATAATTGCTGTATTTGGTCAATTAATCAGAGAATTTCTGGAAGAGAATTGTCTTTGTTACTTGGTCATTATAACTATTATACACATTATTAAAATCTTTGGGAAGCATATTTTGCAACTTGCTGGTATCTGGTGTGCTCTGTTCTAGAGATCTGAATCTTTCCCTTTGGAAACCATGAGTCTTGTCTTATTTCTTTGACTGTTATTGTGATAAAATACTCTGACCAGAACAACTTGAGGGAGAAAGATTTCATTTCTGCTTGTAGTTCTGGCTCCCCGCCATTGTGGGAAGTCACAGAGGCAGGGGCTTGAGGGAGCGGTGTACATAATATCTGCCCCCAGTAAGAGGCAGAGATGAAGGAATGCATGCATGTTGGCACTCCAGTCATTTTCCCCCACCAAGGACCCTCTTCCTAGGACATGAGAGATCCCAACCTGTGTTAAGATTAGCCTTCCTCCAACAATAAATGTAATCAAGATAATCACACATGCTTGCCCACGTTCCCATCTTCCCGGGTGATTCCAGGATTTGTCAAGTTCACCATTAGCATTTATGATCCTACTGACTGTGGAGACATTAGTCTGCTGTTTAGTAGAGAGGAATATGGTCCTTAGATCCATGAAAAACTAGAGAAGGAATCCAAAACCCAATATTCCTAAGCTTTAGGACCTTACATAAGTAACTGAAACTCTACACCTCAGTGTCCCCATACTTAAAATGTTTATGTAGCACCTATCTTATATTATTTAGAGAATGAGTGGTGAATGCAAATTATTTGGCAAAATACCTCAGTGCTGCAGAGAAGAAGGCTGTCAGTGAAGTGCCTGCTGCCTGTGTCCCCAGCACCAATGTAAAAAGCCAAGAGTGACAGCATGCCTCTGTCACCACAGCCTGGAGGAGGTGGAGCCAGGACAGTTGCTGAGGCTAAGTGGCCACCTTAGTCTAGCTAAATCTATGACTTCAAAGTCACTGAGAGGCCATGCCTTAATATAAGACAAGGGTGGAGAGCAACCTAGGAAAGCTACCTGAAGACTACTTTAGGCAACAAAATGAAACTCTTTGACCTTGACCTCATCAGTATTGTTCATAATGCTGTCTTCAGTATTCAGTATTCAGATTCACTTAAGATTCACAGACACAGCATTGCACATTGTACAGGGTTTCTGCTGTGTCTTCCAGACATGGTATCAAATTACATGATGAAAAAAAGTACCCTTGAAAATGTGTTCACTTCAACAACAGAGGAGAATCAGAAGATTAAATGTAGCAATTCAAAGTGCCAGACAGGTCACCTTCTTTGACCCTGGATATAATTTAAGCCCAGTCTATGTTCCACTGTGTGAAGTATGAACTAATTGTGCATGTCATAGCAAGTTCTTCAAGAAGAGAGAGGGAGCTGCCTTTCCCCTATTTGAGAGGAGAGAAGGGAAGGGAAGCGGAGACGTGGCCTCTGGAGAGCTGTGTGCAAGTTTGCTTCTGGCTAAAAGTTAATCATCAATCGCTTGTGTTCTGAGGTCTGAGTCCCCAACAAGCGGCTAATGCAGCTTTTTCCTCTCTCTCCAGGTAACTTTAAATTTCTACAAACTGTGCTCATGTTGGCTCTGGTAGATTATAGGCATGTCTCTTTTTGTTCTTTTCATTCTTTTTCATGTTTTAAGATTATTGAAAGTCGAGTTAAAACTCATGGAAAAGTACTTGATTTCTAAAGTGGACTGAATTGAGGTTAATGAGAGATTGTGTGCTTGGGGTAGCAAAGAGAATTTTTAAATGTTCTATAAAAGTTATTATTGTTCTTAGCCCTCTTGGCTGAAAGATAAACTAACCATAATTATTTAAGAGACTACCTCACATTATGTAGCCTGCCAAGTTTTGGTTTGGAGGAAAGGTTTTAAATCATCAGTACCGAATTTTTGAAAATAAATGTGATTCTTTACTCACTAAAATTCTATTTGTACCTTATGTTATCTACCAATAAAGTGCCTTTTTTTCCTATATAAGTTGTTGCATCTTATAAGTATGTGTGCTTGGCTGAAAAATAGTAAAATGAACTCTGTTGGTTTGAGTATGTAGGTGAGGTAAGTTGGCTCCTAAATGTTTGGTTGGTATGATGGAAGAGAGGAGGTGATTTCTATTTCGGGTAGTACTTCTGCAAAGTATTGTTGTGACTAAAGACCTTGCCCAATAAATTTTCACGCTTAAAGCTAGCTGCTGAAGATGACAGTGTACACTCTGTGACCTTCAGAATCAGTTATTCTGCATTAAGTGTTCTTCATTGAGGGCACAGTTGCTCAGTCACAGGAGAACATGTTAGACAAATTCAGAGAGTTTTTGTTTCTGAAGTGTCTGCCCACTTGGTATCTTTATTCGACAAATATCTAAAGCCAAGAAAATTTGTGTTGGTTGGATTTAGACTCAAACCACATGAGCTTTGAATAGCATCAGCAGCTAGATATTTCTGTGATGCTACATATGTAGTCTTCCGTTTGTATTTTTCCTCAGCTGAAATTCAATGTCAGACAATGAACGATGATTTTGCAATTGAAATTTAGAGCTGGTAGGAATACAAACAAACATCCATTTTATACGCCAGGAACAGGGTCCAGAGAGGGGACATAGCCATGTTATGGACAATGCTGGAACTAAAACAAGGCCTCTATTCATGGGTGACAAGTTGAGTTGATGGTTTATTAGTCTACACTCACGCTGGTTTTGAAAGGGAAATCATGCGTTATTCCCTAGCCAGTTTCCAGTTTGGAGCCGAGCTGGCAAAGCATGCGCAGTTAAAGAGCAGGGGGCCAGTGATGTTTTCTGGTTCACCTTTGGCCTTATAAACCTTTATCAGTTTGACTTGGAAAACTGGATCTTGTCTATTTGCTTAGGTTTATTTAAGTTCCCCATACAAAAGGAGTTTCTCAGACTTAAAGATAAGAATATCGCCAGTCATTTTGATGCACACAAAAACAACCTAGAGAAGTTTGCAATTTATAAGTTTTCAAGTGGCTGAAGTTTCCTTAATTAAGGAAATTTAAGTTAGTGTTAAAATGAAAGTATACAGTAATAGTAATAGATGAATATTCAAAGTTTGAAGTGATCCACATATAATCTGAAGATAGAGTGATTATTTGCCATGATACTGTAAAATATTTTAGGTTCTAATGACTAAAACTGTGTGTGTATCTGTGTGTGAGTTAGTGTCTCTTTGTGTATTTGTGTCTCTGTGTCTGTCTGTGTGTCTGTGTCTCTGTGTATGTCTGTGTGTGTGCATGCCCACACATTTGTGTGTGGTGTGGAATGTTTGCAGCATGCTTGCGGGTGCTCAGGTACACATTCATGTTCATGTGTGCAGAGGCAATGACAGGTGTGTAGAGTGCTTTCTCCCTTGATCTCCATGTGTCTTATTGAGAGACACAGTCTCTCACTGAACCAGAAGTTGGCCATTTTGACTAAGCTGGCTGGACAACATTCTCCTGGAATCCCCCTGTCTCTACCTTCCAATACCAAGGTTACAGGCACACAGCCATACCTGATTTTAAATATGAATGCTGGGGATTCCATAGCAGGTTTTCACGTTCGCAGATCACGCATTCTTTTTCACCTAGACATCTCCCCAGCCTGAAGTTAGGTTGCTTTTGTTGTGGTTGTTGTTTTTGTTGTTGTTCTTTCTTTTGAGTTGGATATATTCACATTTCTTCTTATAGTTGTAGTATACTCTTCAATTAGCACGTAACTCGTGTCTACTCTGATGCACTGTGCCTTTTGTCATTTCCTGCTCAGTTTTCCATCACAAGTTTACACATCACGTGACCATCAAAAAGCTTATCTCTGTTTCTTTAGCCCGTTGATTAGACATGGATAAACTGAATTATGCACTGTTGACGTCTGTCAAGGTTCTCATAGACATTAAATAACACGGAGACACATAAGATTTCAGATTCTCTTCAAAACAAAACAAAACAAAAAAGCAATTGGGCATCAATGCCACGGAGAATGCAGGAGTTAGAGAACCTGGCTTTCACCCACTGACTTCTTAGATCATAGGTGAATCACATGACCTGTGAGAACCCCCATTACATGAGCTCCAAGAGTCGGGGCTCTAGCAGTTGGCAAGCTTGTCTTTCTTGATGCAGCCTGCCAAGCAGGCCAATTACAGAGCCTTGGACCTGGTATGCGATGCAGCCTTCTTGGCATTCCTAGGTCTGCCCGAACAAAGCTGCATCAGGTGGGTGGCTTAGACCCTCTGAAAACTCTTCTCATTCCATTTTGGAGGCTGGCGGTGTGAAAGGAGGTGATGGTAGGCTGGGCTGTATGTTCTTGTCTCCTCCAGTTCTGACCTGACCTAGGCTTTGCTTGACTCACGGCCCTGTCATGCCAGTATATATACCTCAGTCTTCACATGACGCTCCCCCCATATTCCAGGGTTGCCTTCTTATAAGGACACCCCTCATGATGGCAAGCAACCAGACCACGTGTTTAAAGCAGGCACATCTGCAGCAGCCTTGTGCTAGAATTTGCATGTAGAATATCCCTCGGAGCCCTGTGTGTTAGAAGCTTGTTTCTTGCTTGGCAGTGGAAGCTCCAGGAGGTGTGGGTTAGTGGGACAAGTTTGGTTATGGTAGACATGCCCTTAAGGAGATAGTAAGATACAAGCCCCTCCTCTTCCTGACTTTACCTCTCCAGCCAGGAAGTGAGTGGTTTTGTTCTCCTATATGTGATGCGCAGTCACAAGCTCAAGGACAGGGCAGACTGATCGTGGTCTACATTATCCAAACTATTAGGCAAAATATGTGTCCTGCCTTTGTAAGTTGATGATTGAGTTGGTTTTGAAATAGAAAGTTGACCAGCATACGTTGTTTCCAAATCCTGACACACTATAGAGGAATTCCTGCTTTTTAGGAATGTAATCTAATCAGGAGATTCTCTGACCTTGATCCTGCCCGTCCCCAGATACATTCACTAGATCCCAGCGTCTCAAATACTAGCCCTTTTAACATCAACTCGTAGTCTACATCCTACAAAAATAAATGGAGAGACATGGAGTAGAGCCCAAGTTCCAGAATAAAATTCTTCTCCCCTGTGGACCTCTGAAACCTTGGAAACCAGTGTCGTGAATTCCAGGCTAAGATCAGGGGAGAGAAAGGCAAGACATTTATTCCAAAAAAGAGGAAGTTGAAAGGAAGGAAGGAAAAAAAAGGAAGAAAGAAAGGTTTCACTAGTGTAGAAGAAGCTTACAGCCCAGGAGAACAAAAATCTAACAGTTATGCACATGCATGGCACACTGTCTCCTGAGCCTGCCACAGGCGATGTGGACCTCAGTCCAGAGTCTCCAGCCTTGCTCAGTTCTGGCCCGAGCTCCATGGCCCTTCAGCCCTGTTTCTTCCATCCTTGGAGTCACCTCTGCCCCCTCATCCCTGGGTGTGGTTCTTCTCTCTCCAAACAAGAAGGCCCTGTGTCTGGAAGGGCAGCCATAGTTCTACCCCCTGTGTCTGGGAGCGCAGCCACAGGTCTACCCTCAGAGTTCTTCTTTCAGGTGGTTGTTTGTTTGTTCTTTGTTTTTGTTGCTTTCAGGGCAGGCTGGCAGTTTTCCTGATGACTGGAAGAATTTCAAACATCTGACATCCATATGTGCAGTTCAAGGGATGCCAGGTCCTCAGACAAGATGGTCCTTTATGCCTCTTTTCTTATATTCTTTACTATCTGTTTTGAATTTTAAATTTACACGTTTCCTTGAATGTTTTATTTTGTTCTTATTTATTTCATTTTTTGAGAGTTTTGTGTGATACATCTACTGTCTTTAAGATTTTTGAGGTTACAGTATTATAGAATTGCATCATTTTCTCTTCTCTTTAAAATTTCCCGTATATCCCTTCTTGTTCTTTTTCAAATTCATGGCTTTATTTTTTAATTGTTGTTGCATACTCTCTCTCTCTCTCTCTCTCTCTCTCTCTCTCTCTCTCTCTCTCTCTCTTCCTAAATACATAAATACAACCTGCTCAATCTGTATAATGTAACTTGTATCTAAGTTTTCAGGGCTGACAGTTTGGTACTGGATAACCTGTAGGTGTGTGCTTTCCTAGGAAGTCTAAATCTCCCATCCCCAGTATTCCTAAGCTGCCTGTCATTCTTTGTCTTGGGCTGAGACCTCTTGAGCTTTCCCTCTGTACACATTATCATTTCTATTGGTGTCATCTGTGTTCAGTTCCTGTTCAGGAAGCCATGTTGGTGAGACTTTATCCCTGTCACTTCTGACATCACTAGAAGACGTACTCTCAACAGTAAATGCTTCTGACTCCTAGTTTCCAATCAACCCTGAGCCTTAGGTATGGGAGCTGTGTTGGTGATGTATCAGTTGGAACTGGTCCCCACAACTCTTCATGTTAGTTGGTTGTAGTTGTCAGCAATGGTCCCCTGTTCCAAAGAGGAATTTCCTTGTTGGGTGATGAGGACTACTCTGTGTGGGTCTAAGGAAAAATAGTTCTATTTAATTAGGGATTATGCTGACTATTAACATAGCCATTGTATGTTTTCCTCTAAGATGCATGACTTCACCAGCCCAGAGAGGTGAC